GAGGCGCGTTAACAATCCAACGTCCAATGCAACATGTCACATTAGAGGAGGTAAATAAGCTCCCCAGAAGTAAAATATTCAACCGACTAGAGGGAAGAGTAGCAAAAAAATTGTTAATTCATTTAAGAAAAACACCTATTTTGTCGACAACTTGCACTACAAATAAATGTAGCTTTTTTACAAGAGCAAGGTCTCTTTTCTTACCTCAAACAGACTTCGTTGATGCTCATAAATATTTCTCGATGTTCAGATAGTTTCGATGCATACCAGACATATTTGATCCTTTCTAAAAATCATTGTTGATTTATATAATATGATAATATATTACATTATTATATTATCACGTTATTATTTTAATAAATACAATACATGCGAGCTTTAAATTCCTCGTTATTTAATATTTAAAGAGTTATAAATAATTTAATTTGTTGTTCAATAACAAATTAAAGTCGAAAAGAAATTTGACTTTTTCAAACAGTACAATAACGAAATAATAATCACACGCGAAACCTCGGTTCGATTTGAATACCCCACACTCTTGCCGTCTCCTTGTTAGTACAATATTTTTTTTTTTTTTGATAATTTCATTATGATCTATAGTTATAGACAAACAGAAGGTTAATATAGTGGCGTCGAGGACTCCTGAAGAGTTTAAGTTTGCGGGTTATTGTGTGCTAAAGTAGTATAAGCTCGAGTAGAAGATAAGTAGTTGGTTGAAAGTTGAACAGCTTATTTCTCTTTACTATTTTAATTCAGTGCTATGATGAAACTCGAGCTTTTCAAGCAGTTTTATCATTGGCGATGATTTTTATACTTTTAAATAAGCTTGGAGGTTGATGGTTGATATTGTTATTATTATTATGTGGTGTAACTGTTGTACCACTGAAGAATAATGATAATCCACTGAGTTATTCGTGGTAATAAAACGATTTATTAGGTATTCAATTATCGATTATTGTTTGAATGTTGTGGTGAATATTAATGGTGAGGAAATTTATTCAAATCGAATTATTTATTGGTCGAGACTTTTTCTAAAATTTGAATATGGGTTTCAACGAGTCTTGGAGTTACTTGTATGAATAATAAGTGTGACGAGTTGCAAAATAAAAATTCACACACTCTATATTATTCTTGATAAAAGCATACAAAGACTGAAAAAACATCTCCAAGTAAAAGCTGAAAGCATCAACATCTTTTTTTTTATCATTTTAATGTGATTATTTAATTTTTCAAAAATAAATTTAAATTCAGGAAATCCATTATTTTTAATGCATTTATTCATTTTTGATAATGAGGATTAATTTTGCCTAAATTTGAATCAATTGGATGATAAAATTTGAATTTAAATAAAAAAAAAGACTGATACAATGAAATAAATAAACTCAGAGTCAATTTTAAAAGGAAAAAGTGTTATAAAAGATGGTAAAGTATAGTTAAATTGATCAGAAAAAATATCACTGATTGAATTAGTAAAATGCATTGTTCTATTAAGTTAAAATATTCACTTATCAAATCAGTGCAGTGTACTGGTTTGATAATTGATATTTAAATCAATATGGTACTTTGAGTGTTCAATTTATCAGAAAACGAGGGAATTTTTTATCGTAAATAATCATCAAAAAGAGCTAAAGCTCAATAAATAATTCTATTTCTCAAATCTACATCATTAAATAATATCCTAATGGCTCATAATATATTTAATTGAAAAAAAATTGATAATAAATCAGAAAATTCTTTTAAATCAACATCAAAAAATAGATTCATCATTTTATTCATCATTTTAATAGCTCGTTGATTTATCCAACTGAACTGACATATCGATCTGCTGACTCTAGTAAAAATTAGACTGATCCAATTTAGGAAAGAAAATCAGGTATTCGGAGCATGTAGAAAGAATAATCCAAGTCATATAACAAAAGTTTTTTAGTAAGTCACATGAACAAAAAAAAAAAGAAAATTCTAGTCAATAAGTAAGAAGGAAATACTTGGATAAGAGTCTAATATAAAAGAATCAATTTAATTCTCTGCATCCTTTCCGTCTTTTTACGACCGATTTCCCTTCCATGTTTTTTCCTCACCTTTCACCAACATTTTCCTCACGACTTTTTTGTCGCTTTTCTCACCCAAACCTTCCTGCAGATCCATCTTTCTCCGTATGGCTCCTCTCACCGCCCTGTTTCCCTTAACTTCGTCTTTCCGCGCAACAAGTGCGCCCCGCATCTTTAAGAAACCACGCCACGAAGCGAGAGCTTTACTGTCGTCGACCTACCTCTGTAATCTCTAGCTTTTTCTCACTTCAATGCTCATCTCCTGCTTTGGGTTGTTTCTTTCTCACTTATGTTTCTCCAAGGTGCCACTAGCTCAGCCTCGCGGGTACGTTATTTTCTTACCACCTAGCTATAGCCTTATCGTTAGATTCTACAGACAAGCTCTCACTTTTATTGCCCTACCATGCTGTATAGTGAAAATGAATCTCAAGGGATGGTTCGTTCTTTTGCAGTGAATGACATTTTTACATTTTTTTTTTTTACTTTTTTTTTTCAAGTCTGAACATGTTTTTTCTACTTCGTTACTTGCTTAAGGAATTATTTTTTTTTACTTTTTTGCATTTATATATTTTCAAAAGTGCTTTTAACAAACTACAAGTATTGCTATTTTTTTGTACACAGGAAATTTTTTTATTTTTATTAAATGTTGGAAAGTTAATTCAGACTAAAAGTTTTTCTTAAGTGAAGAAAATGAATTAAAATGCTAATTTAATGGATTTAAAAACATTTATTACTATTCTCCCTTTTTTTTTTGAAATAATATTTATGTTTCACGCTTCAGTTTGTATTTCACTTTAAACACGTTCATCTCGTGCACTATTTTATTTGATTTTATTGTGTTTCTATTTTGATCGATAGACTTTTAAATTTTTTTTTTGTTTTCATTGAACAAATCACTTTCCATTATAAAAAAATTTTAATTGATAAATGTTCTCTTATATGAAGTAATTTTTATAGTAAAATAAAAATGTTCTTAAGATGAATTATGACTTGGAAAGGAGCAATATGTATAGAAAAAATGACTGGAATTATAAACTATACTAGAATAATAAAAAAACATCTAGAGTGATGTAATAATACTCGAATGGACAACTCGAGGGTTGAGATAAATAGCGCGTAAAATATCTCGTTTGTGTTAAAACTTTATAAACTCCTATTCCCATGATTCCTCCTATTCTCAGCAGCCGTGTATTTTGTCACACGTGGAACTCGAGTCCGAGTTGAAAATTTTCAACTTTCCAACCGTCATACGGCTCACAGTCTGATAAATTACCATACCGTGAAAGTTTGAATTTATTTACATTAAAAAAAATATTGAATATTCACATGAAATAATAAAAAACATTTATTTACATTTATTACTCATCTCAAGGGTTTTAATTATTCATAATTTCAGGATATTATGATTGGTTATTGTTGTAAATAGTTATTTAAAGCATGAAAGAAAATATAAATTTTTTTTTTTTCAAGCACGGTTTTAATTGAATTTTTTGAAATGTTATTTTTTATTTTATACATTTTGTTAAAATTTAATATAAATTTACTAACATGGAACTATATTTAAAATTCATTGGAAAAAGTGTTATAAAACTAATTTATTTTAGACTGAATAAAATACATTGAAAATTGGAATTAATAAATTTTTCAAAGAATAATAAAACCTTTTTTATTTTTTAAAATATCACGACTCATTAAATGAAATGTATCTAAAAGTGTTTGAAAGATAGAATCAAAGAAATAAATTATTCTGAATGAAATCGACTTCCATCATGTGAAAAACAAACACGAAACATTTAGTATCAAAAGAAGGTATTGAAAGAGTTTTCATAGCAGGAGGTTGTTAAAAAAATCAAGAGTAGAAAGATTATGTGATACACTCCCTTGGGACTGTCTCTCGACAAGTGAGTGAAGTGGAGTGAAAAGTTTTCATAAAGAGTCTCTCGTGCAATAACGTAAAATTCTAATTTCCTGAGCTTTTATTTCTTCGAGATAGTTAAGCAAGAATAAGCCAGGTGAGAAAACCTTCTTCGAGGTTGGATGAAGTAAGCAAACGGCTTTGAAGAAACTTTGGTAAATGACGCGTGATATTGTTGGAAGGAAATGAGCTCAACTTTAATGGTGATGAGTTAAAAGGTGGTCCAATAGTATAAACGGAAAATGTAAGATGAGTGATAAAAGTTCTGGACTCTGTTCGTAATACTGAGAAATGAATAAATAAACTGATACAATTAAGAGCTTAACTGATCCACTAGAGGATGGGTAATGGTACTATTAATTGGAACCAAACTCTCATTACGTGGCTTCTGTAAATGAAATTGGAAATCTAGTGGAAAGTGGTGATGGATAAATGATCTCATCTATTAGGATTTGTATCAAATTTCACGGGGGATTTCATTTATAGTATTTTTTTAAACTCATTTATCGATCCAATATCATCATAATAATCACCTTAGTAAATAACTTAAATTATATTTAATTAAATAATAGGTCTGGCTGTACTTTGTACCTACGTACATTAATTTTTAAACCTTCTAATACGCTTTTAAATATCTCAAAATGTAAAAAAAATAACAAAACTATGAATTTCAAATCGACCCAATTACAATAACTTTCTAATGAAAAATTAAAAAACAAAAAATTTTAATAAATAAATCCAATGTTTTACTTCCAATTCACTTAAATTCAATATTTTTAATCTTCTCCAAAAATAATCATGAACTTATTGTTCTACTGATTTGTTCAAAAGTTACATGAAAAAAAAAATTCAAAAGTTGAATAATTCAATTGATAAAGTATTGAGAAGAAATTTTATCAGAGCATGAGTAATACTCCAAAACTTGATGCAAGTCACTACAAATTTTTTTTCGTACCACTCAAAAGAGAAGTGAAAGTTTTAATGCCACTATCGAAGAGAACTGGTATCAAGTTCGACCTTTAAATTAAACGACTTACCATGAACGAGGATAAGGGCACTGGACAGGAGCGTAGCTCTCAACGGCCAACTGGCCATCCTGGTGTGGATCGTTACGTCGATTCAGCTTCCTCCTGAAACAATACAAGCATGCTCAATCAATCAACCCATTCACCCTAAATCCGCTCACTCTGCCAACTTGACTCTCCCCTTTTTTCCTTCATCACATCTCTATCGTTTCAGTCTTATATTGGCAGTATGCCCACTTTTTCTTCACTTTTCTTACAAAGTCTATCTACCCATCGTTGCAACTGAATTCACCCCTACATCGACCTTTTTCTTTTACTAAACTCTGAAATTTTACGCTCGATGAAACTTGAACGTAAAAAATACGATACAGTGTAGTCGTTATCAAGAGAGTTGCTTCACATTTTAATGAAGTTTGTATTGAATATTATTTAAATATGAAATGTCGATAATTATTTTCTGAAGTTATACTGATGATAAATAAAATCAGTTCAATTACATCTTATTTTTAACATTTAAATAAATGTCTTTTTATTGTCTGTTAATAATGTACCTTTAATAATAATCTGCTATACAAAAAATGGTTAATGATAGACATTGTTCGTTTTTCTGAACTGTTTTATAATACTTCGTTTCTCTTCTTTTTTTGTGTTTGTAATTCTTTTAGCTGAATACTTTAAATAAAATTCGCAGAGTAGCGCGCATCGTGGAGCTTAAAGTTTTAAGCAGCTTAAAAACCCAGAGAAAGTAGAGGAAAAAAAGTTAAAAGTATGAGAATACTAGTAAAGTATTTTATAAAGATAAATAAAAATGTAATAATGCGTAAATTATACCTCTGAAATGTGTGAATAATTGTCAAAATTAAAATTACACTTGGATATGAATTTTCATTATCGTTTTTTTTTTTTTTTTAGTTTATTTTATTTGTCGAGCTAATTAACAAACTATGATCTGTACCAAAGCATAGCAAATCCTTTACAAGTGTTATTTGTGTATTCAACAGAATATGAATAAGAGTTATTCAAATACAAGTTCAAATACAAGAGAACCTCGTAAATAGTAAATAGATACTAGCAAACTCACAGTTTGAGTTTGTTTAGTTGAATATATATCATTTGAGACATGTACATAGTGAATGTTCATTGTAAATTGAATACACTGCAATATCACGAGACTGCATAATTTTTTTTATTGTAAATAAATACAAATTTCGATTTATTCTGCTTCAATTTGTTACCCATGAAATTTGAATATATTTTAAATTCAAGAATGTTCCTGTGGTATTTGATTAATCCAATTTATCCATGTAATGATTATTCTAGACAAAATAAATTTAAACAAATTCTAGTATCGTAGAGATACATGTTCTCTACAGATTTAAATATCATGATTAATTTATTTTCATTGTTATTTTATTTTTATTGAGAATTTTTAATAAATAAAAATAAAAGTAAAATTCTGAGTCAGGTAAAGAATAAAACTATTCGATCTATGGAAAAAAATTGCTGACAGAATAACACTTGATTTCACCGCTTTTATTTTTATTCCATTCATGATCTGAAAAAGTATAAAAACGCTGACGAAAGATAGCCAATGAATGTTTTGAATTCAGAACATGACATTGTTTGATTCACCTAACTTGGAGGCCTGAAAAATTTCTAGGTTTGTCGACAGTTATATTTTGCATCTATTCTTATTCTTATTTTATTTTTGTGTTCTTATAGAAGGTTTTCATATTAGAAAATTCTACACCATCTTTTGGTTATTCTATTTAATAAGAATGACAAGATAACTATGGAGGAGAAATAATTTAAGAAGTGATGATTATTGATAATTTAATTGAGTAAAATTTCACGGTTAAAGAAATTTCGTTTGTCCGAGATTTTTTTATTGCACTAGTTAAAATGATAATTGGAGCATAATTTATGTTAAAATTAAAGCAAGTACCTGTTTTACGCCATTTTAGGAGTGAAATAATGGATTTTTCATATGTTTGACCTGATTCCGCATTTCTAGGCATTGAGACGGAGAGAATGAGTGGTCAAACTTGAAAATCGGACAACTTTGATTTTTCGACCCCAAAAAATGGCAAGTGGTACCCCTTTCCATTTTTTCGGCCAAAAAATATTTTCTGAAGTTTCTAAAAATTTCTTAAAAATCATTATTAGATAATTTTTATGAAAGTTATGGGGGTGCAAAGTACAAACGTAGATGATTTTTTGACCTTACTTTGACTTCAGAATCTAAGCTGAAAATACATATCCATAAAAAGCGTTTAAAAAATTTATTTCGCCTTTAAAATTGCCAAAATAGTTGACAACTTCCTAAAAAAATGTGCTTTTTTTTTATATTCTAGCGATTTTAAGGGTGAAATAAATTTTTTCAATGCTTTTTATAGATATTAATCGCTAGCTAAGATTCTGAAGTTTCTAAAACGTCCCTAAAAACGATCATTGGACTGTCCGTCCATGAGTTACATGGGTTTAAAGTTAAGGGGATGATAATTCGTAATTTGTATTTAGTGTAACCCGTTTTGAAGGGTGTTAAAGTCAATTTTCCCGGGCGGTGCCCCGATTCCGCATTTCTACGCATCAAGACGAAGAGAATGAGCCCTCAATCATCAAAATCGGAGTACTTTTATTTTTTGGCCGAAAAAAATGGAAAGGGGTACCACTTGCCATTTTTTGGGGTCGAAAAATCAAAGTTGTCCGATTTTCAAGTTTGACCACTCATTCTCTCCGTCTCAATGCCTAGAAATGCGGAATCAGGTCAAACATATAAAAAATCAATTATTTCACTCCTAAAATGGCGTAAAACAGGTACTTGCTTCAATTTTAGCATAAATTATGCTCCAATTATCATTTTAACTAGCCCAATAAAAAAATCTCGTACAAACGAAATTATTCTATACGCGATGATTTAGTTAAAACAAAAAGTGGTCATAATCCTACCCTCTTCTTTATTAAATACATTCAAAAACAATGTATAAAGAATAGACCATAGTATAAAGAAAAAAATGCTGAAAAATATTGAAGATAATTCTGAGAGAGTTTTTTTTTTTGACAATCAAACTATATTTTCAAAAATTTATGTCAATCCTTTTTCATAAGACCCATTATTTATTGTCCTTGTTAGATAAATAACAGTAAAAAAAATTTTTTGTTTAATAAAAGAAAGAAAGAAATATAATCGCTATATATATACGAAGCTCAACAATCAGTTTCAACGCCTCATTCACGTTTTACTTACACTCTCCCTTTTCTTTATTTTAACGAAGGCTTTATTTTTCTACAAGACACTCGGTCTACTTTTTCGTTCAATTCTCTTATCAACGTTCCATTCTTTTTCTTACACTGTAAAGCTTACAGCATGACAAAACATCTTTCCTACTTTTCTCGTTCTTTTTTTTTCTTTCATTTTGCTGAATACTGTGCCCATATTCTATCACCACCCTCTAAAAAATTCGCCTGCCACTTTCAAAATTAGTGCATGTCTATCTCAGTTTGAAATCGTGCCAACCCTTGCGATAGACTATCTAAGAAAAGAAAGGTCTCATCTTTGAGTTCTTCTCAGCATGGATCTATAAGTGGGAATCTCAAGAAGGCAAACGAATACTATGGACCAAACTTTCAAGAGTTTTTTGCTTATCTCTGTTGTATTTTTTCTGCCCACAATTTTTTTTTCTTTCAAGGTGCAGACAACATCTTTTAATAATGTAGGATAATGATAAAAAAATATATTTCACGAGAAAAAGATTTTTCTAAAAAATTTACGACGAATGCATTGTACTCACAGCAATCAAGATTAGAAAATAAAAATAAAAATTAAAAAAAATAATTTATTTAAATAAATTTAGTTGTAATTAAAGGTGAATCTGTTTAAAAAACAATAAAAATAAGGATGTAAACATTTATTAGAAGAATAAATAAATCGATAAATGGTGATAAGACGTATTTTCTTAAGACGGTTGAAATAATAATAGCATAAGAATCGATTTCTCGTTTGCATAGATATTAATAGGGTAAATATAGTACAGTCAATATTTACAGCTGATGTTACAATGTCAAGCATAAATTTTCTTTGGGAAAAGTGAAGTAAAATGATCTCTTATGGTTGAATGGAAAAACGGTAAAAAAGAGAGATCAATGTAGCTGTGACATGTCTTGATAAAATGAAAAGGATGAAAAAAAAGGGTTAAAAAGCAAAGAATATAAAATGAAGGACATGAGGAAAAGTTGATTTATGCGCGGGAATTTTTCGCGGTCCAAGGCGTCATTTATTGAAGATTGAAATTCGGAGACTGCATGGCTCTGTTGGAATTTCATTAAAATTATTACTCAGATATTGAACTATGGAGGATGTAGGAGAATGGAATAAAACCTTTTTGCTCTTACTTATATTCTCCTCTATATAATAGAGAATGCAGGTTAAGAATCGGAAATGATAGAAGGTAGAAAACTCATATTTGAGTTCCATTGGTGCTTTTAGAATATTAGACCAAATAAAATATATTACTGGAATATGATCATCGCATTTATTTTTTAACGATTGTCAATATTTGACTTCTTTATGCCCAGTCATTTTTTTCTCGTTAAAGTAAAACAATAAAAATTATATCGATATTAAACTTTGGACTTTGAAAAGAGGAACATGACGGAGAGGAATTGTTTTTTTTTTTTTTTTACAATAAAATTAGAAACGGAATTTTTTTCTGTTGAAAATAAAATAGAGAGATAAATATTAAAAGTGTAAAAATCAATACATATTGTTTAATGTAAAAAGAATATTTTTATCAAGTAAAATTAATAAAAATAATCTTTCGTTCTTCATTTTTACATACATGAAAATTATCTCTACTATTTAATTATTAAATTAGAGAATTTGATAAAAATGCAATATTTAAACAATTCCAGGTAAAATCTATTTCTGATCGTTTTAAAATTCATCTTGAAATGATTAAATCGCTCTGGGTCGTATTAAAATAAAGACCCGGGGTCCTTTTAAATAAAATTAACATTTTTCATTTAATACACACCAACTTTCTGCATATTGATTTGCCTTTTATTACTTCGAAAAACATAAGAAGATTAATAAATGAAGATCAATG